AACATAATGCACAATCGAAGCAGTATGTACTATAATAAAGCGTGTTAGCCCCGTTAGCTAGCTGCCTTTCAAACACGTTTTGCACCGAAACCCTGCTCTAAATGTAATCAAAACGTGCCCCTCCTGCTTAAATGCGACCAGATCGAGTATTGTGCATGTGCTCGTACCGTTTTGCGAACGGATCGGACTTAAATGGCCATCTGGAAATTAAGTGTGTAAACTTTCCTCTGAACTTACAGTCCTGAAGCCCTTTGCCTTCTTAGGTGGTTTTTGTTGGCATAGCCAGTTAGCAAGAGGACGGAGGAAGAGGAGGTCTGAAGCCCATCTCTCAAACAGGAAACAAAGATAAATCAAATAATATGAAAATTAAAACCCATGTGCAGTGAATGGTCATGCTTTTGGAACGAGCTTGCATTTGGGAGATGTTTGATTGTAAGATCGGGGCACATTCATAAAACCCAAAATGGATGCGGATGTTATAAGTATGCACATAAAATACGCATGGCAACTGTGAAATCCTCATGCATCGTTTCAGAAAATAATTAAAATTATTGATTTCTTTTACAACAAGTTTCTATAATTTATCTTAGGAACAGTATATAGAAACGACCTATTATATTCAGCAAGAGTTGACAGTCATAACACTACTCTGCTGGAGGGTAACAATTCATTGGCTTCGCTACAGCATAAGTTTAAACGACAGATAGTCCTTCAAAAACGGAAAATAATCGTTTAAAATTTGACAGTTGTTTACTAACTCATCAGAACTAATATAACTAGCAGGATGGATTTGGTTTAATGCCTGGCAGCCATTTTACATGGAAGCTAAAGCAAAGCCATCATGCAGTGATGCTTTAATAGCCTGCTAGCTGAAGTGACAGGTCCTTTTGACGACCTAAACTAGTTATTATCTAGTTAATAAACCCCTCACGGTTATACAAATTAAACAACAGCAACGGTTATACAAATTAAACAACAGCAACCCTTTCATTTTGCAAAAGTATTTTAAAAACGCTTTAGAGCGAATATGGTAAAGCTGTTGTTAAGCTAGCGACCAGGCGAGCTAGTAAGCTAACTTCCACTCAAATCAAGGTCATCTGGGTGGGAAGCTTTAATATAATCAATCTAGGATCTACATACTATTGTTTGCTACACGTCTGGTTTGGTAGCTTTTTCGTGCAATGGCCAAATACGAGTAAAAATCATTGAGGATTTCCCATTGCACTCCACTGACAGAAGCACTTGACATGGGTTAGCTTGTCGGCTAACACAAGCCAATTGAGACAGACAGTTTCAATATTTCACATAAGTGATAATTAAACCGGACTGAGGGTTCACAGACTAACGATCATAGATTCCATTATGTATAATTCTATACAGCTAAGTTACACGCTGAGGTTACTGACCGGTTTTGCTGGCAAACGCACTTATTTCATGCCAAATTATCTCATCGTTTTCAAACGCAGATAAATGACAACTTCTTTATGCAATGATGAATTCTAAATACAGAAAATATCGGTCAAGGCTGTCTGCGTGGACTCAAAGCCCCAACTGGTCCCACTTACGGTCGGTTGCATCCGCCTTCAACTGTCTAGAGCTGAATGAATAGCAGCGCACACAGTAGAAACTGCTCCCTCTCTGTGTCTGTAAAACTGAGCTTGGCGGTGTCTACGCCACGGGAAATCCGATTGGACAGTAATTCGCATGACGTCAGGTGAGTGTAATACGGAAGCCACGCCTATAAAAAATTTTGATTGGATGAGACTCTACAGTACCTGTGTTAAAATGTTCTCATTGGTTAATTTCAATGGATCCCACCCCACTACGTCTGAGGGCGGAGCGTGCGTAAGAATGCTTGTAAATAATAAAGAGAAACTCACTAATGAAAGGTTTATGTCGATAAAATATCTAATAAATTTTGATAATCAGAGTAAAAGTCTATAATAATAGCTACTATCAGTATTTATAAGTTTAGTTAACCATTTAAAAGCACTTTCTTACGATACATGTACATTAATACCGCTTCCCCTTTGCACTGTAACATAAATGTTATCCTATTTATTTGTATTATTATTAAGGGGTGTAAAATATACCGAGAAATTGTACATAAGTTTAAGTACAGATACTATGTTAAAAATTTTACTCAATTAAAGTCTAAGCACTAAGACTAAAAAATATTTGAGGGAAAGTAAACAAAAGTATCCACAATTAATTGAACTTCAGTATTTAAAATGAAGAAGTAAACACTTTTCTTAGCTTTTTAATAGACTTTTTAGAACAGACAGAAGAGATAATCTCAATAAATAAAAACAAATAAATTCCTGCTTAAATAAAAGGATAGTTAAACCTAGAACATGATTAATTGGCTTGTTAGGATAAAATACCTTTTTTGTATTTTTTTGTATAAGATATAAGTCCTGATGACATATGTATTTTGCACTACATGAAATTGTTATAGAATTATTTATTTATTTATTTATTTGTAAATGTAAATGTAAACATGCAAGCATTCTGTTTTAACGGTCTTAGTTACAAATTCTCCAAAATAATACTTAAGTAGTGAAGTATTATTATTCAAATACTTTACACCTTCATTATTAGAGCTATTCTAAAATGCACTTTTGGAAACAAACAAAAGTCAAGATTTAGAAAGTATGAATCATCTAACTAATAAATGAAAATGTCTGTAATTAAACTATGTCATTAGGTTGCTGTTTGGTGTCAGGCTCTGGAACTTTTTTATCTGTATTCATGCTGCCCCTACAGAACACACTGCACGGTATGTTTTATACAGATAACTAAAGTCAAAAAAGGGTGTCACCATTATCGTGTCCCTATCATTTTCATGTCTCTGGGTGGACATATTTGAAGAAGTTATCTGGGTTAAATACTGTACATCTATGAAGATGGATAAATATGATTAGGTATAGTAATTAAACAAAAACATTATTCAGAAACAAATATATACAGAAAAAGATCTAAATGCATCAATAAAAGAGACAAATTAAACAATTCAACATTTATTACAACACCCTTTATTGAAAAAGTTTGCTTGTGTTTACAAATAACTGCACATGACATAAATCAGAGAAGGTCTTGCTCTTGCAACACATGCTGTGTCTGTGTTTATTTATTACAAGAGAAACACTTTGAGCAGCAACTTGAGTTATATCATGCATGAAAGATGCACAGACCTTTTATAGGCAGGCTATTATAGATATGTGAAACATGTTTTAAAATCAGTCCATTCGGTGTTGTTCACACTAAACATTCAACACTGTTATCCACTCAAAGGTTTAGCCATCTTTTGTCTTCAGAACTGCTATAATTCTTCATAGCATAGATTCAACAAGGTGTTGGAAATATTCCTCAGAGATTTTGGTCCATACTTACAGTACATGACAGCATCAGTTGCTGCAGATTTGGTCTGGTGATTATAGAGGCCGTTTGAGTATAGTGAACTCATTGTCATGTTCAAGAAACCAGGTTGAGATGAGCTTTGTAACATGTCACAAACTGGAAGTATGAGTACACTGTGGTCATAAAGAGATGGACATGGTCAGCAGCAATACTCAGGTAGTCTGTGGCATTTAAACGATGCTCAATTGATACTAAGGGGCCTAAGTGTGCCAAGAAAATATCCACCACCCTATTACATCCACACCAGCAGCCTGAACCGTTGATATTGTGCAGGATGGATTCATGCTTTCATGTTGTTTACACCAAATTCTGACCCTACCACCTGAATGTCCAGGCAGAAATTGAGACCCATCAGACCAGGCAACCTTTTGCTCAAACCACTTTTGTCATTATCCTCTGACCTCTGGCATTTTCGCCACAGAACTACTGCTCACTGGATATTTTCTCTTTTTCAGACCAAATTGAAAGTCACTTAAATCACCTTTCTTCCCCATTCTGATGCTCGGTTTGAACTTCAGCAGATCGTCCTGAACATGTCTTCATGCCCAAAAGCATTGTGTGTGTGTATATATATATATATATATATATATGTGTGTGTGTGTGTGTGTGTGTGTGTGTGTGTGTATGTATGTACTGTATGTATTATAGTTTGCAAATGTCTTTTGTTTGCAAAAAACAATGCTTTTATGTCCTATATATTATATGGAGTTCACACTTGAGGAAGAAAAAAACTTATTTTATTTTATTTTAATTTAGGCTATTTTAATTTATTTTAATTTAAACATTTTATTCTGAGGGCCAAATAGTAGTAATATGGCCAACAAGTAAGATGAAATTCAGAGCTTTTGTCACTGTACAAAAACATATAATGCAATGCCACTGATAACATAAGATCAACATAAAACATATTCAATGCAATACAATGATGATTGAGAGAAGTACAAATAAATGTTCCTCAAAAGCCTGCTGTATCATGCTACATTTGAAAGAGATTTTTCTAAAACGATGCATTCATAATAAACCTAAAATGTTTTAGTCCAGTAAAGTTATTTTTATGTTTACTTTATAAAAATCATTAAATATTTCAGAGCAAAAACACTCGTGTGCCACAACCTGAGGGTATACATTTTTACAATTTTATTTAAAAAGTACTTACTAAAAAAGTATGAATGAGACTACCATTTAGAGGGGCAAAAGCATCTCTGGTAGAAACTAGCTTTCATACGCTACTGAATATTTCTAATAAAAAATACGACAGAATCTCAAATTAATCAATTAATCCTTTGTGAACAGATGCATAACAGGTGTGAACAGTCTGACCGAATCGACTTTCTAAAATGAATCAGATTTTCTATTAATTTGAGCTGAATTAATTGATTCATACGATAATTTGTACGAGAGAGAGGAACAACTACAGAAAATGTAGTTAAATGTAGTTTACTACTTTTAATGTGTTACTACTCATCTCTGGTAGAGAGAGAGATTTTAAACTACAAAACGCACGTTTACGAACTACAACTTCCAATACGTAACCGTTTCCACGCGCAGCCTCGCTGGCGGTCTAGCGTATTCCCTTGATGCCTACACGCATGCGCAGTTGTACATGGCAGCATTGGGTATCAATTTGGTCAAACAGCGGGTGATAAAATGGTAGGTGACAGAAATTAAAAATATTGCTGACGTTTTCTGCTTCCGTGTTCGACGGAGAAGCTCTGGCAAACTTAGATATTCCGCGTCTTGCACGAGTTGTTGTCTGCGCGTGTCGCACCGAGAATGATAATAATTGTGTGTATGTTTTGTATGGGCAGGAAGGTCAGTTGTTGATATTTAGGGAGTTCAGCATGTACCTTTCCGCCTATCTGTCCTGGAATCATGCACTGTGCTGCATAATGCATCTGAGGATTATTATTATTCTGTGCTTTAGCCAAGCATGCATGCTGTTAACCCTGATGTTCTGTTTTGGATTTTCGAGACCCTCCAAGCCCTATTTTAACACACCAAAATCTTACTTAACATCGAACAATCTGGTTAAACGTCATGACTTTTCCAAAATGCAACAGATCTGATTATAAAAAAGCTTTCAACTCGATGTTATGATTAAATAGTTTTACATTTAAAAACAAAGCTTATTTCTGTTGTGGTGTCGTTGAGACCCCAAGTTTAAAACCAGATTGATAAATGCAATGACATCACTGATGTTTTTAAATGTTTACAATGATTTTTCACGTACAATATAGGGGCCTCTGGGACCCCAAACAACCAGGCAGCCAATAATGTCAGCAGAACAGGAGGGTTACATCCATACCCAGCTATGAAATGTCAAACGTAAGTCTTTTAGCCCCAGCCTGGTTATTTTCCAGATTGTAATACCCTCTAAACATGTCTTAAGTGGGCTATCAAACTTTTTGCACATTGTGTTCTGGTTCTGTGTCTTGTGATGGCCCAGTCAGAATGGTTATTTTGAACTCGTTGTAAGAACTAGAGTAAAAACAGCTTACTGTGCATCGATGGAAATAACTGTAGGGTAACCCGGTTGTTTTGCACTGGCCGCCCTGAGCTTGCCATCTCATATTACATGCCAAGCGCAAGTGGCCTGTCACAGGTCCTCACATGCTTGGTGCTTCAGTCGAACTTGCTATAACCGGTAGAATGTCCTTTTAAATTGCCACATAGGACGTTTGGTCAGCGCTTTGTTTATGGTTGTTCCAGTTGTCAGCTTTAGTCTTGTGCCTGAATGTGTGCAATTTTCTCTCTCTGTATGTTCGTTTGTGTCTCTTTCTGTCTGTACACACTGCTGAGTGTATTCCTCCGTCTGTCTGAGTTCATGTCTGAGGGCATATCTTTTGTGTCCACACAGCATAAACTAAAATCCTCCCAAAAGGACAAGGTACGGCAGTTCATGTCCTTTACTCAAGCTGGGGAGAAGACCGCCGTATACTGTCTCACTCAAAATGACTGGAAACTAGAGGTGGCCACGGACAACTACTTTCAGAACCCAGATTTGTACCACAAGGAATCCATGAAAATCTCAGTGGACCGAAAAAAGCTGGAGCAGCTTTACAATCGATATAAAGGTGAGTTTTAATCTAATTTGGATATGTATTATGCCTGCTGTCCTGTGCCTGAGAGTATTAATGCATGCTAAAAAGTGCTCTTAGTCATTTGTTTCTCATTAAAAAAGTCATACAATTTTTTTTTCTATTACTTTTGAGAAATATGATTCAATTGTAAAGCTTTTTAACTTTTCTACCCAGAGTGGCTTACACTCTCGTGAGGACCTTCATTTTGAAATCACACGACCAGCAGTGTCATGCAGTTCCACTGTGTTACTAATAATAAAAACAAGTTTACTTTATATAGTTCTTAATCAGCGGGTGCTTAAAGTTGGCATGAAATGGAAATGCATCCTAATTAATCCATGTATGTTTCATTTTAAAAAAAATGTTTTGACTTTGTAATGTTTAATCAAAATTTCATAACTCTTCTCGTGAAATGACACGCTTTCTCTTTGGTGATTTATGGCAGACTTCTCAAATCATTTAATTTACATAAACTCTGCCCTTTTTTATATAAAGCTGTAAGCTTGCATTCACATCTTCCTCTATCCAATCAACAACTGATCGACTGAACCAAGTCCCCGTCCTCCTTTTTTTTTCTTCCAGATAATTTGTAAATAAAAGTTTCACTCACAATGCAGCAAAATGATTTTGTCTCTACTTTTGTTACATTGCAACTTTAATCAAACATATACGTACATCTAAACAAAACAATGGAATTAAACTTAGAATAAAGACAAAGTGTGAGTGGAAAAATAAAATGTTTAAACAAGGTGTTCCTGTTAGAGCAATCAAACAAGATCTGCAGCTTGCATGCCACAGAGTGAAGAAAAAATTACAGGACCTATACAAACAAACATGGTGCATTCACATGTCATTATGAAGCCCAAAACCACTTAGATGAAGAAGAGCCAGCAAAACCTAAACAAAAACTTACTGCTGCACCTTTAAATGTTGAATTCCTCTTAGAAATGTTTGTTTTACGAAACTGACACTTAGTGTTCTTGGTTTTTTGAAAGTCTTTTGTTTCCCCCCCTCAGATCCCCAGGATGAGAATAAGATTGGGATCGATGGAATTCAACAGTTCTGTGATGACCTCAATCTGGATCCGGCCAGCATCAGTGTTCTGGTTGTGGCATGGAAATTCCGTGCAGCAACACAGTGTGAATTCAGCAAGAAAGAGTTAATTGATGGCATGACAGAGCTGGGGTGGGCTATGACATAATTTCTTTATTTAGTCATGGGCACTGTTGACAATATTTGGGTTGTGTGGTGGCTGGCAATATCATTAAAGGGGTCAGATGATGCGATTTCAATTTTTCCTTTCTCTTTGAAGTGTTACAAGCTCTTGGTGCATAAAGAAGATCTGTAAAGTTGCAAAGACTAAAGTCTCAAATCCAAAGAGATATTCTTTATAAAAGTTATAAAAGAGTCAACCACGCCTACCTAAAACGGCTCGTTCTAACACGCCCCCACATGTCTACATGACGATGTGGGAAGATTTGCATAACGCCGCCCAAATGTTCACGCAAAGAAAGAAGGCGTAACTTTTATTCTCGCTGTAGTATTGTTGCTGCCGCCATGTCGTGAAGGCACTGTGTTTCGTTGTGAAAGCGAAACTGCTTTGTTTGGCCTTCCAAAAGAGGACGATATCCGCTTCGTCATGCCTTGTGTTTTTTGAACCTTAAACAGCATAAACACATTTCATTACACCAAATAATGTTATTTTTAGCAACATCATATGACCCCTTTAAAGGTGCTTTGGGAATATCACACAAAATGTCCTACTACCTGACAGAATCACTGAAAAAAAGGTGTCTTGAGAAATCACACCTCTTTCTGTGACAGTCTTCAGCTCTGAGCACCACAGAAAAATGAGCCAATCTGAAATGCCTGATGTATCTGAAATTATTTTGCACGTTTTAGATTTGCTGAGAGAAGCTGTATAGTTAAAATTGGCAGAATGGAAGAAGTCAGGCTGGAATCGCTAACAGCATCTTTGAGTTTTGTATGAATGGCATGAAGAATCAGTGATTAGATTAATGATGAGCCTAAACGTTTCATTTCATCTGCAGGTGTGACAGTCCGGAGAAGCTTCGCGCTCTTCTGCCCAGATTAGAACAGGATCTGAAAGACAGCGGAAAGTTCAAAGACTTCTACCAGTTCACCTTCAACTTTGCCAAGAATCCTGGACAAAAAGGTTTAGGTAAGGGCACCTTTTCTTTCTGCATTTCTGTGAGTTTTCACTCTGGTTTCTAGCACTGAATAAACAGTTGTCTGTATTAATGGTCTTTTTCCATTTCAGATTTAGAGATGGCAGTAGCATATTGGAACCTGGTTCTGGTTGGACGTTTTAAGTTCCTAGACCTCTGGAACAGATTTTTATTGGTAAGTCATCATTACAGCTTTGGACCTTTGATCCTGTTTCGCACTGAATACAAATTAAAATGGGTTTTAACCACAGAGTGGAATAATTTCCTTTAGCAATTAATTTAGATGCTCTCTGGTCTCTCCTTATTTTGTGCAGGAGCATCATAAGCGATCAATTCCCAAAGACACATGGAACTTGCTCCTGGATTTCGGCAACATGATTGCAGATGACATGTCAAACTATGATGAAGAAGGTGACATGCATTATCAATACTTTTTAGTTTTGTGAGCTGACTGAATTTTTAGCAATTGGTCTTTTAAGTCATAAATTGACTGCATTTACTCATGTAGGGTATGTTGGATTTTAATAATGTGACGTTTTGCTTTGTTTCAGGAGCATGGCCTGTTCTCATCGACGACTTTGTGGAATACGCTCGGCCAATCGTGATGGGATCAAAACGCAAAACTGTATAGTAACACTGCCCCTGGGCGAGAACTCACGCCTTGGTCGCCTCATTGACTTTGTAGTTTTTATAAAGACTTGTAAGCATTATAAGAGAGAACTAAGAGAAACACTTGAAACCGACAAGCTTTGCAAAAGGAAAAACAGGATGGAAAAGACGACTCAGACTTCCACACATCACACAGGAAGGACAAGAGTGCGAAACTCAAGATTTCTTATAGAGCCATCAAATGCACATGGCCAGCTATATTTGCACTGGCGACTCAATTCTAGCCCGAAACCCTTGGAGATTTTGGGTGGATAACTTCGAACCTAGTACCTCATCTCCATAGCAGTCAGTGTCACTCTATAGGGCCGAGTCCTCATTGCCTACCCACTCCTCACAGTCTGAGTTATGGAATAGTCTCTCCAGTTTCGTTTTAGATTATGTACCCATCTGTCTGGGTGTGTATCTCATGCAGGACGTGATGCTGATCATGTCTGCATTTTAAGCCAGATGTTCATGGGAGCATGCGGCTCACAACACCAGCACTATTGTTACAGTTGTAAAATACTGTACCTACTGCAGCAGTATGTACAGAGAGAAATGTATTCTCAGTAATGTTTTATTATATGAAATATGAGAAATATGAAAGAAAGGCGTGGTCAAAACAAGATGCCGCCATACCATGTTCTTGTGTGATTTTAGGTCAAATGTGTCATCTGCCCTGTTGCGGAACTTGTAACAACACGGTTCAGTGTTACTTTTTTTTTTTTGCAGATTTATGTTAAGAAATAAATTATTGCCCTTTATGTTCTTCTCAATCTCTAACAACCCTGTTATTCTTTAACTGGGCATCTATGCTTGGACAACAAGAGGCTTTGCAAGCTTTCACTATGAAACATTCTCCCATCAGTATCACAAACTGAACATGCTTCTGAATCAAAATGATTAGTACAGAATATTAATATCTCCCTTCATAAATCTCTGAAAAGCAACCCTGAAGCATGATGGTAGGGCTGCAGTTATATTTGGTTTGCACCAAACATTCAGGACACTGGGTTAATTTTAGTGTCCTGAGACCACAATTATTTATATAACAAAAAAAGCTTCTAGCAAAATTCAGGCATGATGTAATGTTCATCTTTTTCAGAAGCGGTTTCCTTCTTGTCGAAGAGTGCCAAATCTGCAGTGCTGAGAATATTGATGCCAGCCAAAATGCTCTGCATCGTGGTCAGTAGTGTAGCTGGCCTATTGGTCACCCGTATGACATCTTTTTTCTCTTGCTCAGTTAGGCCTGGATTGTGCCCAGTGTTTCTTGCATCCATTAATGTGTATAGGGAGATTTAAACCTTTGCCAATAATATTATAATACCTTTTGAAGCTTTTTTTAATTCTTCAGTTCTTCTGAAAGTTCGATTTCACGGGCTGATCTTTTGTTTTAGTGAATAGAAGCAGTCCAACACAGTAAAATAACTGATTATATCACTTAATTGAATGTATTTAAAACAGTTTTAGTATGATTATGTATGACTTTCTTCTGTGAAACATGAGATTTTAGGCTGTCATCTGCCTGATATTCTCAATTCTCAAAAAAAAAAAAGTAACAGGAACAACATGAGGGTGAGTAAACGATGACAATTTTTATTTTGGGTGAACTATTACTTTAATGGCGGAAAGAAACTTTCAATGCAATTTTACTGTGTACCACAAGAGAGCGGCAATGTGTTTATAATCCAAAGAGGATTCACGTTTTAGAGGTTGTGTGTTTATGTATTGCTGCATTTTTATTATGTGTGTTTATATATGTTATAATATTCTAAGTGTGTAAAAAATGTATTTTAACTGAAATTTGCATTTTTGTTGCATTTTTCGTTGTTACTTCCAATCCATACAGATAATAAAAACAAATGACGGAACTTCACAAAATCCGTGTTTCTGTACGGAGTGTTATCAATGTAACACACGTTTTATGCTAACCGCGGGCTTCAATCTACATACAGAGTATCAGTCTTACAGAACTCATTTTCAATCCATTGCATTTGACAAGAATGACAGTTTTTTGTATTTGACAAACAGTACAATCACCATGAATCTTGACAGGCTTCGTAAAAGAGTGAGACACTACATTGATCAGGTAAGAAGAGGCAATATATTTAGCATTAAGACTAGCTTTAATTTGTACCTCAAATACGATTTTATTAATTGCTGATTTTATAAAGCTGTTTATATGATACTACGTAATCAGAATATTATAGAAAATGAAAAAGGTAGAGTTAGTACATTAAGCTCGGAACACCTGGGTGTTTGAAGCTAGCCAGCTGACTTTCATGCTAACAGGTTTGAAAGCTTCTTAATTTATTTTTAAATAACATAATTATTTATTATTAATAGATATGGCATCATGTTGTTTTGGACTATTTTATTCTCAGAAATAAATAGGTAATATAACCTCTATGCACTAATGTGGCTAAATGATCTTGTACATCAAGTTTTATCTTCATAGTGACAATATAAATGAAATGAAGTTTTTCTCTATAATTATCGCATGATCTGTTTTATAGCAACAGTATCAAAGTGCTCTTTTCTGGGCTGACAAAGTAGCATCCTTATCACATGGTAAGTATCTTCATCCTCCTGAACACTGTATGGATATTGTCAAACAGCAGTAGATAAAATTCATTCTGTGTTAGTTAAATTACCTTGACTCTTAATTGCATACTGGACTAATCCCAGACTGTTTAATCTCTTATAGAGGATCCTCAAGACATTTATTGGTTAGCACAGTGCCTTTATTTGACAGCACAGTATCACAGAGCTTCTCATGCGCTCAGATCTCGCAAACTTGACAAGGTAAGAGCTATTGATTGATCGATCGATTGATGAAAGTCATTTCAGTAGTAACAGATATTCTTAAATCTCCGAGTTGCAGTCCTTCAAAAACCTAACCCGATAAATTAATTGACACAAATGTATTTCCATGCTGAAATGTTGGAAGTGCATTAGTATGAAGTAAAGAAATCATCGTGTTCAAGGGAGTTAATGAATTAGTATACAGTGCTTGTTATTTATAGCTTCGTTTTTGTTTCTCAGTTGTATGGAGCCTGTCAGTATCTAGCTGCAAGATGTCACGTGAGTATTTACATTAATGTCATGAAAGCTTTATTTTATGCATTATATAAAATAAAATATTGTGATATTGCATATAAATGCATTATATATACAATATATGTTTTTTGCCTTTTTGTGGGAAGATTTGTAAAATGGAATTTACTATGTAAATGTAAACAAATAAGTGTATTGGTATCTGAAAACGTAATCAAACTAGCCAAAATATTTAATAAATGGATGGAGCATTTGTGTAATTTTATCACTGACAGACCAATTTTTCTGAAAACCTATATAAGGAAATAATCATTGATTGTACCATTACATTTTTTTGTAATCTGCAGTATGCTGCCAAAGAATATCAACAAGCTCTAGACATACTGGACATGGAGGAAGCAGCCAGTAAAAAATTATTGGAGAAGAATGTAAAGGAGGATAATGGCTCAAGAGAAACCGTAAAGGAATGGGAAATGTCTCCTGCCTCAGTGAGCCTAACTCTTTTATTTATTTTTTTTAGGATCAAAACTGCATTGTTTTTTTCCCCTGATTTCTGGAACATTTTCTTGTTCATTGATTGTGTTTATTATGTTTTATTTTTGATATTTACACTATACCTGAATGAATGAGTCCAGTTGGTCTTTAGAAATAAACAGTTTGACTGGATCTTTTACTCCCTGTGGCCTTTTCACTCAGATCAATAGTTCCATCTGTCTCCTGCGGGGGAAGATCTATGATGCCATGGACAACAGACCCCTAGCCACGTCTAGCTACAAAGAGGCCTTGAAACTGGACGTCTACTGCTTTGAAGCCTTTGACCTTTTGACGTCCCATCACATGCTGACCGCCCAAGAGGGTGAGAGAAGCATTTCATACTTTCATTCCGTTTTTTGAAATTCTCTGTTTTTGTACATTAAGTTGCTTACAGCTTAACTAACATTATTAGTGGACCCCAAAAAATATGTATGTATATAAATGCTTTTAAATTCATAAAATGTTATTTTGTTGTAGAGAAAGATTTCTTGGATTCTCTGCCCTTAAGTCAACAATGTACAGAAGAGGAAGTGGAATTGCTGCATTTCCTTTTTGAAAATAAGTTAAAGAAGGTAAGAAGGTCTTTTTTCTATCGAAACTTTGGTAAGGTTCAATTAGGACAAAAGAAGTAAAAGATTTGTGTACCAAAGATGGTTTGCTAAGATTTGCTTATGAAAAAGCTTTGATTGAACATTCACGTCATCATGTGGATCAGATGCTGTTCATTATTTTTCCTGATTTTGTTGTGTTTATTCTTCAGTTTAAAAAAGGAACGTGCACAAATTACTTAATTTGAAGTACCTGTTTATTCAGTCAGTGGTTTTGAAGTGCTCACTGAAGAGCTAATCAGCAACTCTCCTTTTCCAGTATAACAAACCTAGCGAGATGGTCGTCCCAGAAATAGTCAACGGTCTCCAGGACAACTTGGATGTTGTCGTCTCCCTCGCAGAGCGACATTATTACAACTGTGACTTTAAAATGTGCTACTCTCTTACGTCAATGTAAGTTTGCAAAACCGACATTGGTTTCTAATGTTTGGTTTCTAATGTTTGGTTTGACATTTAGGAAGAGTTTGAAATCCTCTGATGTTTTTTTTTTTTTTTTTTAAATCTAGGGTTATGGTGAAAGACCCGTTTCATGCTAACTGTTTACCAGTGCACATAGGAACCCTTGTTGAGCTGAGCAAAGCAAATGGTATGAGACTAAATATTGATTTCAGCTTTCATTTAAATGTCGACTGTTAATGTGGAATCATAACATTTATCATCCGTTGTCTCTTTAGAGTTGTTTTACCTGTCTCATAAACTGGTGGATTTGTATCCCAGCAATCCAGTGAGTTAGATTCCCTTAACATCTCATAACACAAGTTTCAACTAAGTTTTATGTGATTGCTTTCTCATCATTTCTTTCTCTGTGAACCTTTTCAAGGTTTCGTGGTTTGCTGTTGGTTGTTACTATCTCATGGTTGGGCATAAAAACGAACACGCAAGGCGGTATCTGAGGTACAACTGTAGTTAATTATGTAAACTTACAATTCCATTCAAAAGTTTGTGGTCAGTAAGATTTTTTTAAAAGAAATGGTTACTTTATTTAGCAAGGATGCATTAAATTGACCTGAAGTGACAGTAAAGACTTTTAGATTGTTACAAAAAATTAACAATTCAAATGAATGCTGTTTAAATTTTCTAAAATATTAAGTAGCAAAACACAGCTGTTGAGCACCAAATCAGCATATAAGTTTAGCTTTGCCTCCTCTGGAATAAATTACATTTTTAAATATATTCAAATAGAAAACAGTTATTTGAATTGTAATCATATTTAATATGCTTTAACTAATATAAAATATTAATATGTAGCATTACAGTTACTGTATTTCTGTTCAAATAAATGCAGCCCTGATGAGCATAAGAGACTTATTTCAATAACATTCAATTGTTTTACTGAAATTGTCACATAATGTTGTCTAACATACAGTTCTTACTAAAGAAGTCACTCATATCTTCGAAAGAAATACAAAATAAGTGAAAAAGTATTGTAAACTTTTGCCCTATTACATAAATGCAAATATTCTGGGGGAAAACCACTTTTTAGTGCTGACCCTGCAGAACTCAATTTCCCATAGAGGTCGTTTTCGTGAAACATGTTTCTGTGCTAAATCTGGCAAAAGGTTTCGTAATAATAGCAGTAGATTTGTAGCTGAGGAAACTCATGGTTAACATCAAAATCCCCTTCTACAGTAAAGCCACCACACTGGAGCGCACATACGGACCGGCATGGATAGCATACGGTCACTCGTTTGCTGTGGAGAGTGAACACGATCAGGCCATGGCTGCGTACTTCACTGCTGCCCAGCTCATGAAAGGGTTTGTAGACCTGCAGTGCTTGTGACAGTTAAATTCATTAGGACAAGACAAATATTTGCCTCTAGTTTAGGCCAAAAAAAAAACATTCTGACTTCCTGTTTGAGCAGATGTCACTTGCCCATGCTGTACATTGGTTTGGAGTATGGACTCACTAACAACCCCAAGCTGGCAGAACGTTTCTTTAGCCAGGCCCTCAGCATTGCACCTGAGGACCCCTTTGTCATACATGAGGTAGCTGTGGTTGCCTTCCAAAATGGAGAGTAAGTGATTACAAAAGCATTCACACTATATTCATCAGTTGTTAGTGGTATTGTACAAGCTTTGCTGATGAACGCTTTGCTTTGTTACAGTTATAAAACAGCCGAGAAGTTGTTTCTAGAAGCTATGGATAAGATCAAGGCCATTGGAAATGAGGTAACCATCCTGTCGCTTCTATCATCTAGTTGTTTTTCTGCTTGTTTTTGGTCAGAACAGACGCTAGTCAGAGTAGACTTCATGATGCTCTTTTATGTTCTTGGGTGCATCGTTCAACTGATGAAACAATGAAAATACCGCTTTTACACAAATTTCCAATAGACAAACAGATTCTTGTATTGATCGTTACTCAAATTCAGTTGTGTCAAAATAAAAAATATGTCTGTCCTCTATAGCAGTGTTTCCCAACCGGGGTGCCGCGGCACCTGTCGAGAGCGGGGGTGCAGTGTAAAAAAAAATCATTTTTTAATATTTTTAAATTGCTAAAATGTTCAAAAAAGCATCTATTATATAATATAAATTTCTGATGTCGCCAATAATTAGAGATGCACCGAAATTTCGGCTGCCGAAAATTAGTTCACCGCTCGGGTTTCACTTTCACGTGGTGTGACACTCCGCGTATTATCCCACTCAATGCGTGTGCGCTC